TCGACCGCGGCTGGGAGACGTTTCTCATAGACCCACACGTGACTGCCACATACAGTATGAATCACTGACACACACGCTCCCGGAAAATGGTGTGTTCTAGTCTTTTCCTGACCCTTGGCTAGCAGGACGGGAGGAATAAATTCGGGCTCATTCAAGTGAGATTAACATGGTCATTATTTTTATCTAAAATATTTAAGGGAGTTGGTAGGAGCTTCTTATCTCTCCTCCCCCCCTTCTCGAGTAGGACACTTGAAAGGCAGAGACCCGGGCTTCTTCAGGAGCAGCCCCGCATCTGCTCGTCTGAGACGCTTACGTTGCACGTAACTTGTAGGTCACTCTGGCAACCACCCCACATGCTCAGACTTCATTTTTTTTTTCCTTACTGTTTTTGAGCTCAGTGCTAACTGCTGCTAGCAGACGTAAAGCTCTCTGCCATTCTTTCCTCAGAACTGGCTACAAGAAACCTACCAATTATAGCCAAGAAAGGGTCTTTCAAATACACATACACATTGTAATGTGGGCTGGAAACCAATTGGAAATGTTTTGATTTGCCCTTTAAGGCCAGAGGCAGGCACTTAAGGCAAACTCCTAAGATGTTTGGAAGAGCAGTTACACTAAATTTAGCATCCTAACCAGCCAGTTGGCGTATATGTAATGAAAGATTGAAAAGGAAAGAAATTTAACCCGCACGAACAGAAGAGACAGGTGGATGAACAAAAGTCTACTAACACACTAATACTTTTTAGGAAGATGCTCCCGGAATAAAACATACAGTCGTTAGAATCGTTATTCCTTCCTTTCCTACACACGTGTGAGATGTGTCATTGCTATTCGTGAAAGAGCAGGGCTGCTGAGTGGACTCTGGGCTCCCCATAAGGAGGGATTTTGTCTTCCATGTCGTCCGGCCCCCCGTACCTAGCACACTGCCGGCCATACATGCAGTGCTAACTAGATGCACGTGGGATACAAACTGTGTGTGTGTTTACTGGGCAGGAGCTTCGAGGCCTGTGGATAAGCATGAGTCCGCTGGTGTGGGCTCCTGGTTAGTGTCTCGGCCCAGTCTGAGGAAAAGACTCCCGCTGAGGATGGCGTCCACCATCTTCTTCCTGCCCGCGGTCCGCACCCTCTTCCTAACCTGTGCGCGTTCACCGCGGAAGAGCTAGACAGATACTATTTGCTGACTCGTTGTGTTTTTATAAGCTGCACTTCAAAACCAGGCACGTATAATTGAGTCAAAGCATAGGAAGTGCCCACATTCCGACGGTTGGCCTCGGTGGAGGGGCAGCGGTGTGGTCGGCCTGGGGACCTGCCAGGAGCCAGGAGCCCAGACTGAGGCGCCCCGGCTCTCCCGGGTTGTGGGCTTTCTCTCAGAGTCAATGACGCTTCATCACAAGGATATAAAGGAATCCGAACTGCACTAAGTTACACATGTACAACTTAGAAACTGGGAGTTATGCTTATTGAAGCCTCTCACATCGTTCTCAGCATCTTGAGTCATAAGCAGAAGTAGCCAGATGATAAAGAACCAAGAGACCAGATACTCAGGGACCCAAGTGAAAGATGTAGCAAGCCAGGACCCCCCTCCTGTTTTGTTTCGTTTTAATTTTCCCCACTTGCTGGAGCTTAGAACTAGACATTAATGTCTACCGCTTTTTTTGGTCTTCCTGTAAGGTTGCGTTAACAAAGCCACTGAACACAGATGATGCACCTGAAGAGCAATCTTGTTGGGTTTTGCTTAAGATTTCAGTTGATTTTAAGCAATTTTTTTTGTGACATTTATCTCCCCTACTGTTCCGGGACTTTTTAAGAGAGAGTCACCATGGCTTTAAAAACAAAACACAAAAAACTCTAGTCATTTTATTAGGTATGAATGGCACTTGGGAAATAATAGCTCTATTAGCAATTAAAAGATGTTTCTCCAGTCATACCATTCTTTGCCACAGACAACAGAAGCAGAAGTATAAGTAATACAGGAGGCATACATAACAGGGATGTGTTCTAGATCCCAGCATGGAAAGAATCAAATACGAAGCAAGTGAGTCTCGAGTCTACGAGGAAGATGAAGCGAAGGTGGGCTCCCTTAGCTGGTGGAAGAGACCGCCACCCACACCTAACCCCTTGCCTGGTCCCTATTTAAATACTATGAGGTATTTAAATAGAAGTTGGGGGCCTGCTTACCGTGACCCAAACACGTCTGTAAATAAAGAAAAAAGATCTACTTGACGATTAGGAATAAAAGGCCGAAACCACAAGAGCGCGCCTTCCCGTTCTACCGGTATGTATACATTGCTAGTTATTGGATTTTTTGCATTTTCTTTCCATGCCAGGAAGGGGTGGCGAGCAGCAGAGCCCGGGGCCCCATGTGGGATCTTGTTGGAGGCAGTGGGGAGATGGTCAAGTGCAGCCCAGAGGGGGTGGGGTGTGACTGTGAACCACTGTAGGTCTTCAGAGCTTGTCCCCCCAGGGGAGCCGGGATAAAGAGCAGCTGACATGAAGGCACTTTTGTACAGTTTGAAAGGCGGGGGTTTGCTTCATATCCTGCAGAAGTTGAAAGCAACCTTCAATGTGTTGGAGTCCTACCCTCTCCCGTTAAGGGCCCCAAGGCACAGAACTGGATGGGATGTGCAGAGAGACCACAGAGCCATGGGTGGCAGAGAGAGAGCTGTGAGCGAGGTCTCACCTTCCCTGCGTTTAACACATTCAGCGGCGATCTATGATTGGTCATAAACTGGGTTGGTATGATTTCCCTTGCGCGGTGTCCTTATATATGGGCACTTTTTTTTTTTTAATGAGGGTCTTGGTTGTTTTTTAAAATATAATTAACTTCATGTGGAGAATTGTTTTGAAGAGGCTTCATTAATCAATGCATCACAGCATAAAAATCTTGAGGTGAATGCATCTTGAGCTTCTGGGGCAGAGTTTCATCACTAAAAAATTGATTCATCAATCTGGTGTGCTATGTTTTATTACAAACAAGTATATACTTTTTAAAAAAAGATTTTATTTATTTATTTGACAGAGTGAGACAGCGAGAGAGGGAACACAAGCAGGGGGAGTGGGAGAAGCAGCCTTCTGCCGCGGAGCTGGGAGCCCGATGCGGGGCTCAATCCCAGGACCCTGGGATCATGACCTGAGCTGAAGGCAGATGCTTAACGACTGAGCCACCCAGGTGCCCCACAAATAAGTGTACTATTTTAATCTCTCCCCTGTCACTGATAAATGCCCTCCCTACCCAGAAAACCGAGTAGAATAGGCAAGACTCTTCCGTTACAACACTGATTATTTTGTCTTCAAGTACATCTGTAGTGTAAATACCCACAAACATCATCCCAAATCAACTGGAAACAAAAAAGCAGAACACCCAGATTAGTGTCTTTTGCACAGTAGCAATTATGTGTCCTTTTGAGCCACCTGAAGACCTATTTGCCACCGAAGCCAAGAGGAGGGTAATCATCCTTTTGAACACCCATTAGGGAAGTGACTTTTCCTCCTCTGGGTTGTTTTTGCCTTTGACTGATCCTTCTCTGGGTTGGCTCCAGAGACTGACAGCAAGGTGCATGACAGCTAGTACTGATATATATATATATATATATATATATATTTTTTTTTTTTCTCCTTTCCACTGGGAACCTTTCTCCCAGGGTTTGAACAGGCAACTGTTTTGCTGACAAGGACAGTGACATTAGAGAGGAGTGGACAGCAGCGGGAGGGGAGAGTACATGACACAGTGACTGCAGGAGCAGGCTGACCCTTCAGACAGAGAAATAAGAGCATCTGCCTGTGACAAACTCTGCGAGAAGTTTCTGTAAGTTTCCTTCTCGCCAGTTAAAAAGGGTAACAACTGGGGTTCACTTTATTTCTTCCTGGAGTTTGGCCTGCCCAGTTTGGACAACTTAGTTTCAAACACCAGGTGGGAACAATGACACGGTGTCTTTGGTCATTTAAAATGCAATAAAGGTGGCCGTGTCCGTTGAAAATGCAATCCTTGGCTGTTGTGCTTTTGTTCTGGGCTGGACTGCTCATTAGCGAAATGGTACAGAGGGTGGAGCAGCCCGCTTAGTCACTGGGCTGTAAATTGTGCCCTGGGACTTGGATTTGCAGTGATGGGGCGGTTAGGTGCCTCGGAATAAAGAGATGGCGCAGATGGAGCTATCATTCTGGCATCACCTGAAACTGTGGGCTCCTGGAGAATTTTTTTTTTTTTTTTTTTTTTTTGTAAGGGAAGCATTTATGCCACCAACCTTTCTTTAGGACAAGTACGTCAGGAAGATGCCACCGAGATCTCTGCTTCTAAAACCAGCCTTTCATGGGAACCTCTGGGGTGAGGGGTGGGGGTGGGGTTGAAACCTACCAATTCTTCACCTGGCTGGGGCTGTAATCTGCAGCAAGTCAGTCTGGCCTGGAGCATCTGGCTCCTGGGTTGGGGGCCTTTCTCAACCCCCACCACACCTGAAGTACCTCCCTCCTAAGGATGATCTCATCAGTGTTAAAGTTTGACAGAGAACATTGGACTTTTTTCCTTCCTCCTGGGATTATTCCATGAAGAACAACAAAGCGGTCTATGGCAAACTGCTCTGCTTGAATGGAAACTGGATCGATCTGGAATTAAGTGCTGAGATAACAGAAGTGCGTCTCCTTCCTTTTCCTCTCTCACCTGAATGAGGTCACGGCTCAGACGGTGTGATCCAGGTGAAACTAGAGATGCTTTCTGGTTAGGACGCTTACTTAGGACTTGATAAAACCTTACGATAAAATATTTGTGAAATGTGAGTTCGAGTTTTATGGGGAAACCAATGGGCTCGTGGCCCTTTGCGAGATTAACAATCACATTACGTGCATGCCCTGATTTGAAAAATGGGCACAAAAATGCCCATGGGCAGAAGGTCCCGGATAACTGTAATTATAGAGAAAACAGAGTAGAAAAGCAAATTAAAATAACAAGCAAAAAGGAAAGAAAAAAGAAAAGAAAAAAAGAGGGAAAGGAAAAAACTTTGAAGGCACTTTTTCCATAGGAAAAAAATATTTTATTTTTTTAAGAACAAATTCAGTTTGAAACAGACGTGGAATGTGACCTCACGGGTTTCGTTTCTGGGGGCTGACTGCAACGTGGAAGTAAAGCGGACTGAAAACCTAGCACAGGCTATTAAAACAAAACGAATAAAGAAAAAATATTTATAACTCAAGCATAATACTGTGTTACTTACAAATTGGACAACGAAATTTTAAATAAATATCCATGGTACATAATTACGGCACAAATATGCAGCAATTTGGCAACCTTTTATACCATTTTTTCCTCATTACAGTGCAAAGGGGGGAATGACACTGCCGTTTAACAAGCTGTAGCTAAATACATTGCAAAATTCAGATTTTATACAAAACATCTTGCTTAGACTTTATAAAAAACCAACATTGCTCTATATACACAATCTGGGTAAGAAAAGCCATTTCTGTCTTGTTTCCATGTGTATTTTTATTAAAAAGGTGAATAAGGCTACTGTAACACCCCAAATCCATATACAGTAAAATCTGAACCTATTTACAGCATCTTCACTTAAACATTATGGTGCAAATTCCAAAGTCAGGTGACTAGGGATGATAATACAAGCAAGGCATTTACAGTAACTTTTCCAAAGCTGAACCAACTTCAAATAAAGGGACAGTTGGTAGATTGTCATATTCTGCACCAGACACAAAACAGACGCACAGAACACTTTTCAATTGGTTGCAGGTAACTCTTCATCAATTCATCTGATTTCACAGTTTAGCATATAACCAAAATGTAGCCAACCGATGAGACACACATTTGATTTCATTAAAATCAGACCATTTCCCATTTTTCCCCTTCTTGCCCCTCTCCCCCATCCTAAAGGTTAATTTTTGATGGCTTACAAGAAAATCTTGTATGGATGCACGTAAAGGAGAGGGGAGGGTGATGGAAAGAATCACATATGTACTGTGGCTGGTCGCCATGACAACCCTCCACAGACCTATGATATAGATATATATAATATATACTGTAGATATATATTATACATATATGTACACATGTATACCACTCACCCACTCACACATACACACACGCACTTTGGACCAACATCATTTTCAGGTTCAGGAAATAGAGAAGGAATAATTTTCTGTGACAACTCATTTTTGCAGGTATTTACTGGAGGTTTGAGAACCTTAAAATGCTGTTGCTACATTTCTTTTTCCTCCCAATTCAGAAAGCAAAGTGTTACCATGGTAACGGGACTATGTTAAAGATGTCTATTTTGCATAGCACATAAAAAGTAGGTTTCCTGTTTACTCGTTTTGTTTCCCAGAAGGGAGGGGACGAAGGGCCTGGGAGGGGGAGGGGGAAGAGCGGAGGGGGCCGGAGCTGAACTTGCCGCCACAGCCCCTCCACGTGACCCGGTGGGTGTCAGCGAACACTTGAGCCGTAAGGCAAAGGGGAAACACGACACAGAGAAGAAATGCCCGGACATCTTGCCACTGTTCGATATATGGTGCGGTCACGTCCATTTCCTGGTGTTTGGGGCTTGCATTTCCTAGTCTAGGTTCCGTGAGATGCCTTCAGAGGACTGGGTTATTTTTGTATTTACTCTCGTTATTGTTATTTGGGGAGTGATGATGTTTTTCCCAGAAGTAGCTGTCCAATTTTTCTTTTTTAAGCACTGAGCGTTGGGACCACGCAATTGCCACGAGTGAATTTCACATCCTCTGGTGTGATTTGTGTGCAATCTTAAAATATATATTAGTAAAAATCTTTCACTTTCTACCCCTTGTGTTCTCTATACCTATTATAAATACGTGCTATCTTCCTTCTCCCCCTCGACATCATCGATTTCCGGCTTAAGGACTCGAAGAGGTTCGCCGTGTGCTTCACCTAGACACAGAGCAGCCGCGCTGTGGCCTCGCTCAGTAGCCCTCCCTGGGCCAGCACAGCACCTCCCAAAACCAAAGTGTCGGGGAGGCTCCAGGGGGGAGGGGGGGGGGGCAGGTGCACTGGGGGGGGGGGGGCGGGGAATCTGACCTACCTTTTACATAAGAGAATTCCTCAATAACATCAATGATGATGGAATTACAGCCTGTTTGACCTTTGGCTTTTCAACTTCTAGGTCAGATTTGGCTCTCTGCTATTCTCCTAAATGCTTTCCCTGTGTTTAATAAAATGTGATCAGTATAGCAGCTGAGTCTGCTTTAAACATCATCCAAAGCAGACCGACTCTCCTACAGCTTCGAAGCTGTACATCTTATTGCCAGTACCACAACAGTCCTGCCCAAATCTGTCATCAGCGGCCCACTGCCCCCTTCCCTCCTGGCCTGTTCCTCTCCCAACAATGCCCCTTTGTTCTCCCCAGCCAAGAGGGACTCTGGTTTTCCTGCACGTTGCCATGTGATCAGAGCGGATTCCTTCAAAGGCACCCTCCTCCACTGCGAGTGGTGGTGTTGCGTCTCCTACTTGCCTCTTAAAATCTCAGCCAAACCAAAGTGCTGTGCTACCTAATTGGGTTCTCCCCCACCCGACTCTGCTTCGGAGGCAGCGGCGTTGAACTGCATTTGCAGACAGCCCTTTTCCCTGGCCCGCCCCCTTCCACGAACTCCTCGTCTTCCACGGCTGCCAGCCCAGCCTGGCGTCTGGCTGCAAGGCTCCTTATTAGCAAACACAACTTCGAGAAGCATATTACCCATTCCGCTGTAGCTGTGGTTGCAGGTGCGTGGAGCAGGAGACCCCCCAACGTGAGTGTTCCAGCAGTGATGCAGAGTGTGGAGGGGGAGCCAGAGATCGGCAGGGGGTGTGTGGGGGGGGGGGGGGTGCCACGGTGAGGACTGGAAGCTGGACCTCTTGCAAGCCTCCCCCAGCCCGAGGTCTGTGTGTCAAGTCCGGACGCTCCTCGGGAGGGCCGCCCGAGGCAGAGACCGCATTTCCGGGCACGGCGGCCCGGGACACCTGCCCGGGAGGCTCCCACGCCTCGCCCGGCTCCCCCCCCCCCACCCCGTCCAGGCGCTCCATCTCCCTCGGCTCCCCGCAGGCCTGAGTGCCGCACATGGCTTGGAGGTGGAGGGGTGGGAGGCGAGCGCTGCAGTCGCAGCGGGCCCCCGCCCTGCGCCCGGCTCCCGGCTGCCGGCGAGCGTCTGTCTCCACCACGGCCCGGGGCGCTACAGACGAGGCAAGCTGTCCAACTCAACGGGGCTCTTCCGAGAAGCGGCGTTCCCGCTCCCCCGCTGTGCTCCAGTCCAGTCGAGGCACAGGGGGTCATCAAACCCTCCTCGGGCGGCAGCGGGTCAGGAAGTTTCCTCCGGGAAAGCCAAGGCACCGCCGAGTCTCAGACCTTGTAGTAAATGTTGGCCGGGCTCTGGGGGGGCATCTCCTGGACTATGTACACGGGGTGCCCGTAGTCCCCGCTGACCTTCTCGTAGTGGGGGCAGAACACACTGTCCGCGGTCCGCAGCGGGATGATAATGTCACTGGGCTCCGAGCCGTTGTTGTTGCCGCCGCGCTTGGGGGTGGCCAGCGTGCTGAGCGACAGCGTGGCCGTGTGCTGCGGCGAGTGCTTCCTGTGCCTCCGCCGGTACTTGAGCAGGAGGACCACCAGCGTGATGATGATGACGATGAAGATGATGCATCCTGAAGCAATCCCTGCGAATAAGGCCACTTCGGAACCGAGGATATTGTTCCCGGAATGTCCGGCGCTGCTGCCATCCGTGCTTGACCCTGCCAGGCGGGGAGACACAAGGGGCAGAAGGGTCACTGCGGGGCCCCAGGCGCGGCCGGCGGGGAGCCAAGCCACCCCAAACGCACAGGCAGCCACCCGCCCGCGCCAGAGCCGAGGGCTGCGCGGCCCCCACGTCAGGACAGTTGACCCTGGGTGGGCCTTGCTGGCGCCTCGCAGCCACACGCGCCACGGTCCCTCCACGGCGGGAACGGGCGGGGACACACGCAGGAAGCGGCCCCTTGCTCTCCCGCCTTCCTCCCTGGGCGCTGGCTCCGTGGGAATCTCAAACCGCCTGCACTCTGAACAGACAAGCCCTGCCTACCGGCACCGCGGCCCGAGCACGCCCGGGACTGCTGGGGCCTGGGAAAACGCTCAACTCCTACCTCGTTTGTATTATTTGATTTACACCTAAAATATATTTGGAAGGTGGCAGAAACTCTCACACTGAACAGGCTGCCAACCCAAATGTTAAGCACGAAAAAAAAAATCGCCTGGCATCATTATATGATCCATTTATCAGTTTGTCACAAGAATTTGACACATCTTGTCACTGAAAGTTAGAAATAACAACTTTCCTCCTTGACGCTTGGAGAGAGCGGGGGATATCGCTGCAGATGCTAAATTCACACGACTACCAACCAGGCGCACAGACCCCGGGTCCAAAACTGCGGAGGTCTGCCCAGCAACCGCCACATAAAAATTTCATTAGCGTGCAAACACATACGTAGCTATCTGTTCAAGGACTGTTAAGAAAATGAAGTTAAATGACAGCCAACTTTCTCTGGTATTCTAAACTGCGGCCCAGGATCCGTCTGGTATTTTATTTTACACTGAAAATGTGAAAAAAAATTTCAGCGGTATAACCACCTGAAAAATGTGGCATTATGCAATATTTCAAGATGCTGCCACCTAAAATGTAGAAAGCGGATCAATCGGGCTCTTTGTGGATTAGATATAATTAGAGGAGGGATTAGAACATTAATTATATATACATTAACATCAGCTCTAAACTAGTGTTGCAACCGGCACGATTAAGTGTCACCAATAAAAATAACTTTGGTCTGAGTGGTGCTCATAATTGGCACCTACATCTGATGAATTCTACTCCTCTGAATGTGAACCTTTCGTGGGAATGAGTTATTTTGTTCTGACTGAGTAATTAATAACAACTAACTGAGAGCAAAGATTACCGACTCCAGGAACTACAAGTTAACCCAAGTGGTATCTAAGTGCTCGGACTCTGTTCTACCTCTTGGGACCCAAGGCGCCCGGGGCACACAGACCTATCCACACACACTCATGCTGCTATACCTGGATTTGGTTTGACAAAGGGACTTGTTGTTGAACTTCTTCCATTTGTACCGGCTTCTAGTTCTGGGCGTCGTGTTGGATCATTATGCCTGGTTGACCCAGCGGAACTTGCATCTATATGAGAAAGAATAGATTACTTACAGCCCAGGCGTCTAATGAGATCTAGCTCTAGGAGCTTTTGGATATATATCTCAAGAGGCATAAATAGCAATGAACGTAAGATTCTTTATGCAAAGTACTGTGACATACAAGAATATAATTTTCCTTTTAAAACAAAACGGTTATACTAGTTATTTCAGAGGTTTAGATTGTGAGGCCATCTGTGCAAACTATAGGGATTCTTGCATTTGGCAGGCAGAGCATTGCAGATGACATTTCAATTTAAACGAGCAAGTTGATTGACTACTATACCAATTTCTAATTAGAAGAATAATTCTGCACAATAGGTTATCTGTATGTGAAAAGGCTCAGTGAACTAAAGTCTTCTGTAGGTAAGATGCAGAAATGGGCAAAATGGCAGAAACTTACTTTTCACTCTGGATATCTTAACTTTTGAATCAAAGAGGCCTTTCGTTTTTAAGAAGAAAAAAGAGTGCATATATACGTATATACACTATATGGCAATGGACATCGTACCTGGCTGACCTTAACTTTTAGAGGAATCTCCAATAAAAGAAGTGTGTTACATTGACTTGAGGCAATCTGTCAGTGGCTCAAGGTACAGAGAAAGGTCTGCTTTCAAAACTAAGCTACGAGGGATTGAAGGCAGGCATTAACAGCACCGGCGCCATACTCGCTGGGGGCCGAACCAGATTACAGTGGCTTCATGAAGCAGCAGATGGTCTTTACCTTGTCCAACTTTCATGAGGATCTTCATGGCTCTTGTCTGGCACACCCCTCCCTCCTGGTTATCCAGGCCCTCCAAAGACCCATTTGATGTAGCTGATTAAAAATAAAATGGACAAAACAAAAAAATAAAGAAAAATCAGGAAATCAATAAGCCAAGTTTACATGAACATGAAATGTCTGAAAACAATTTGAAAAATAAGAATTCACTCTTAGTCACAAGTTTTCTGAAAGTATGGAATGCTGAAGGCCAAACATAAGAAAAAAACAGAAAAGAAAGAAAAATGGAGACTGTCAACACTGGTGCACATATGCTATCTGGTTTCAAGTTTACTTATTAAGCGCTTTCTCCTTCCTTCAGAACCAACTGATTTAGTAGGTAGTCCACATACATAAAAGGGACAGCATCTTCCAAAAAGCTTACTGACTATTTCAGGGTCAAAGTCAAAAGAGCAAAAGAGTTAATACAGTCACTTTAAAACATGGTAATCATCCCACAACACCTGCTTCCTCAACTACAGATTTCCTGCTTCAAGAACAATTAGCTTGATGCTCCCCGTTTGCCAAGCATCCAAGTTCGGTAAACACTAAATGAGGAGACTCCCACACCCCCTTCTCCTTCTTTCCCCAGCCTTGTTTGAGATGAAGAAGGCAGCCAAGATTCAGGTCTTCAAATTCTGAAGTTTCTCTCCATCGTTTTGTACTGGACCAGAAATAGCAAGTGTGTTCTTATTACCGAGACGGACCTCGGGCAAACCCTTCAACCAAGCTACCTGCTAGAAGACAGCTTGACCGACAGAGGGGACCACACATGTCCTCTGCTCGGTCAGGGCCCCGCGGCAACAACCCTGGGGTGTGTGGGGACGACGTCCCGCGGCCACTGGCCTCCTGTTCACCAGCTTGATTAGCTTCCCACTTCAAGAGGGAGGAGGAGGAAGAGGAGAAAGGGCAGAGCATTTGACCATTTTCAGTACTTTTTTTTAAAAACAGCCTATGCTCTCCTCTACTGAAACACACTGCCCTTCTGTCTCCTTAGGATGGTGTGTCCTCTGAATAGCACTGTAACTAAAGCTGCGAGAAGACAGGCTGCCAGGTACTTCACTGAGGAAGAGGATTTAAGTTACAGGTCAAGTTCCAGAAGAGAAAAGAAGGTGGAGGGTGCCAGACATTTTCATCCCTCCAAAGTTCAAGGGGCAAGGAACAGAAGTGTTTCATATACATCTCTGCGCTGCTAAGTCGTTCTCTACTTGGACTATCAAAGGCTTGTCTACTAACACTGCACTTTGCAAGGCACGGAAACAGGGACAGCATTTCTGGTAAAAGTAAATCCAAAGACATTGTTTTAATGGGTTGTTTTCCAAATGGCAAACAAGGACTTCGTGCACGCATAGAAATATGCACGCTACAGATAACTATATTAGCTGCAAAATAACGCACTTACTTACTTGTCTTTGTGCCCTTGAGTTACCAACTTTTACTTTCACTGTTCTCCTTAAGAACAATGGCTGCTTCTCGTGTGTATAAGTATCTCTTTGCTTATCTGAGTGTTTCCTTAAAGTTTACAGTCTTACAACCACACCTCACTCCTCTTGCTGATGCTGGCACTGGGTTTCTGCTGGGAAACGGGCAACACTGCCATAATAGTTTTGGGGGGTAAAAAGTAGACAGTGTCTTCTCGTAGATTGTTGAGAAAATATCCGGCAGAGGCGTTAAAACAAATACCTATAAACTTTATATGTCTCTGTGAATCGAATAAAATCTGTTTTTCTCCCCATTTTTCCATCTGCTTTCCCTTTTCCCTCTAGACAGGTTCCTAAATTTCGAAGTGTCTTTTCCTCCTAAAGGCATAAAACAGTGTGGCTATCTATGACCAGGCACCATTTTGGGGAGCGCTATAATCTTCACTTAGTTATTTCAAGTTTTCTCAGTTGATCTTTCTCAAAAATTAGGTTATGTTCTCATGTAGAAAAATGCAGAAAGCTGAGGTCTTTATTTGGCCAATGGCTTCAAAAGTTTAGTTTACTTAATTCAAATGGAATCTCCATGTTTTCTAAGTCATATGGGCAGAAATGTGCCCACATGCACAAGTGCACCCAAATGCAGTTAAATGACTTAACTTTTTCTGGCTAACAGCTTAACAAATATGTTAAAAATAAGATCTGAAGGGTCATGCACAGAAGAGGGGGAGGGTACAGAGGTTTTGTTTATCTTAACCTTGAGGTAATAAGGTCAAAGATTCAGATCTAAAAGGAAAAAAATAAGAGAATGAATACCAGAAAGGGTAAGACAAGGTAAAGAAGTGTCACCTGGGGAACAGAATTCAAAAGTGCTGACTGCTTCTCCTTCATCAGTTTGGAAGCAAGCACAGAGGTGCCTGTCATTTGGGTGATTCTTTTTCTTTTGATTTTAATTTGTGGTCAACGCCCTTTCTGAATATCAATGCTTTCATGCAGAGCTCCTTTTGGTTCACCCCAAACTTTGTCCAAATGACCCCCCAACGTAAAGAACTCAAAAGTATTCAAATAAACTGCAATCTATAATTGAGCACCCACAGACTCCAAGATGGAGGAGGAAAATTCTGCAGCAGGAGAATGAACCTGCTTTGCATCTTTATCAGTTGAAACTTTTTTGTTCCCTGGGTGAGGGGAAAAAAGCCTTCTGGCCCTGAGTTGCACAGAGGGAAATGGAAGCTTGTGCCTTGGTAGGGTTCTTGGGGTTCTTGGACACCAGAGGCTGCTGTTGGCTGGGAGGGGGTGGGGGTGAAGGGGGAGGGTGGGCCAGGAGGCAGAACGCTGTGATGTGCATTCCAGACTCTGCTTCATTGCCCTTTAAGTCACCTTGGGAGCAGCAAAGGTTACTGGGAGATACTGAAAAATTCATTACGAATGTTAACATGGCATCCCCAATACCTGGTTGCCTAAGAAGGGGACAAACTATATAATACAGCGAGATGTTCTGCCATGGAAAGATTTTTGCCCCACCCTCCGTTAGAAATGACCTGAGCGGTCACAGAAAACCCGGTTTTCAGATGCCAGCAACCAACAGAAACTTCAGACAGTAAACTTCGGAGCAAGTCTAAAATAATTTAGAGGGACTCGAACTTATTCTGATGCCGTAATGACAATTAACCTCCCTCTTCCTACCATACCTCCTCATCAGGGAGTGTAGGGAGTGTGGTTCTCAGTGCTGAGGTCCCCCTGAGGTCCTCCTTGCCTTGGCCAAGGACCCTGACAAGTGTCCCATCCTGACTGCCCCTCCTTATGGCGGTGAGCTTTGAAATAAAGCCACAAGATTAAAGTCTGATTTCTGCCGTAACACCCAGTCACCAAGAAGCTTTAAAAAACAGGCTTAGCAACTGACTTTGAGAAACAACAAGAAATTGCTAATGCTTTGGGATAAAAATCTAATTCCATTTCAGGAGACAATGTTGCAATATTTTTATTGTTGATTTGAATGTATTAGGAATTTTTAACTTAGAGAAAGATTAAAAATAAATTGTTACCTCATTATACTTCGTTTTTTTCTTTGTCTCTCTCTGCCGGCATTAGCTAATGCCACCACAATTACAGTATTACTAAATGGATGAAATTGCATTTAATCACTTAGAGACAGGAAAAAATAACACTGTTATACCTAAGCTTTTGGTGCCCAGACATTTTTTTCCCCTTGGCCTAGAGGAAAAAAAATAGACTTTATAAAATTAAAAATTACTAGAAAAGTTTCTCCATCCAGTTAGAAAATAGGCTTACTAAAGATACATGGGCATTTTATGGCCTGCTTTTAAAAGCTTCTGCTTCGGGGATCTAATTGCATGTCCTAAGTATACTGAAATCACTAGATCGCTCCCCTGAGGCCTGATTTTCAGCGGGTGGAGATCATTGCTCAGCAAAAAAGTACCCTGAGTTCACACTCTCGCCTGAGAGTTCTTCACATCTGAAAACTGCACCAGCCAACATCTGTGGTTGCCCGTGAATTTGCACACGGACTTAAACTTAGCTGCAGTTCTGACTCACTGGCAATCCTACGCTGGTTATCGGAGCAGGGAAAAGAGAACCAGTGAATAAAACAGACTAAAGGGGCAAGAATCTTCTCTGGCTGTGTTTTCTAGACTGTGCCCACGGAGAGGAAGTAACAGTGCATTTTAACCTGGCTTCTTCTTGATTGTTATTGCCCTGCACCCAGGGGGCTACGCAGCAGCATTGGATTTGGGCTGTTTTCAGTCTATCACATTCGGGAACACTGTGCTCATCAGATGGAGAATTCGCTGCTGGGTTTGTGCAGATATACGAGCCTCATTCAAAAAGGGGTCAGGAATGAGGGCAGCACAAAAAAATTCTCCAGGATAATATATAGCTTCACTATGAAGCTATGAAGGAAAATTCTTGGTTATGCTGGAAAGGATGAAAAACACACTGCTACTCTGGAGGGTATTTCAAACTATTTTAAAATGTAGCTTGTTGGGATGGGGCGGGTGATTGACAGACACTCAAAAGCAAATATTTTTATCCACTTCATCAAAGCAGTCGACCAAAGAGAGATAGGTAATAAGCTATATAGGACCATTAAAGCGACAGAGTTCAGTTGTCTGCTAGGAATAAAAACCACAATTTATATAAAGCTACACGGGACAAATTTGTCTTATTTAATTATGAAACAAACAGCATTTTATGACAATTCTCTATCACTATCATCCTCCCTGTACTATTCTCTTCCACCATGTCATGATATGCTGGCCCTCCTACTTTTGCTTTCTTCGGGCCAGTTTTCCCACACATCGGTCTCTCGCCTTCAGCTCAACACAGACTCAGAAGAACCAGAAGCCTATCACCTGACAAACTGAGGAACTAAAAGAAGCAGAATCAAGTGAGACACATGGAAAGTGAAGCCGTGAGATTCAAATAAACATGGCACACAAACTAGGTTACTGCCTTCCAGCAGGGCTAGCAACTCTCGGAGTGTCTAAAGGAAAAGAAAAAGAAAGAAAAGAAAAAAAAGATGGAATGAGATCTGCAAGTTTGGAAAACAAGGAGCCTGATAAAAATGTAATCAGTTACTGTGAACATACAACCCAGGAAACTAAGATCTATCTCCTTAAA